TTCCAACTAGCTGGTTTTGTCCCAGGTAGGTCAGAATTGAAGTAAATCATGTGTTCTGCAATTTTACAACTTTTCCACAGGTTTTACTAGTTATTAGAGATTTGCATTTTTTATTTTAGAAAGCTTAACTTGTCCACTACTAATATTTATTGAAGGTTAGTGGTATGGTTCATTACACTGTGCAGGAAACAAGAACCCACTTATTAGGACATACCAGAACTAAGAGCCCTGATGCAACATTACGCTTATCCCCTTAACACATTTATACGGCCTTTTACCAAACATCCCAAGGAAAACCCCCGGCTAAGATAAAGTTTCCTGCCTGCAAGATATCACACACAGTTCTTTCTCCCCTTGCAGTTGTTTGCATCTGTCACTTCTCCATGCGTGTGAAGCATGCATCATACATGTATAATTCATCCTATTCTCACACCTCAGGACCATCCCAGCACCAAATTCCAAAGTCCTATTACAAAGTGGAGGCATCAAAATATTTCACTGAAATAGAAACAAACTGTATTCCCATGCTTCATACAACCAACTGAACACAGAGACTTGAAACAGAAAGCATTAAGCAGCATTACATACAGGGGTAAGTGCCTCTGTCTGTCAAAATCCCATTATGCCTATTCATTTATTATAGTGAAGTGCTCTAACAGCACCTAACTCAGAGTAGTGAGGCCTTTTAAGATCCAGACATCATTTTAGCTCTATTGGCTGTTATGGGCTGAACAGTTGCTTAAATTCAATATTGAATTTAAGTGGTTTTAGTCTGGCTTACATGATGTCCAATACAAGGGCCAAGAGGTATCCTCAGTTAAAAGTAAAATGTTTAACAATGTAACAGAAATTTTATCAAAATGTTAAAGACAGTATCCCTATTCTGGAGTGGAAGGAGTAGCTATTTCCTGAAAAGTGGTCTTCTGATCCTGCTGTATGGGAGCAATTATCATTTGAGGGAGAAGAATACTGAAAAGCTTTCCCTTCCCGGCTGTACCTCCACTTAACCTGCTGCATCACGCTAAGACAGACACAACGTACTTACAATTCTTCTTTCACCAAGAAACAACAATGGTTCTCAAACTGCTGGCATTTCCACAATAAGAAAGTAAAAATATGGGGCAAGACATCTGAATGTCTTTTTTTTTTTCCTCTTAAGTATATATGCAGAAGTATGAGAAAAAGCTGCTTCCAACACTAATTGATGTTAAAATTAATGCTAACTGAAAAAGCCTGAGATTATTTTTAAGGAAATATTTTCATAAATCTAGACTATTGTTTCCGTATGGTTAGAAATTTATTCAAAACCAACCATCAGAAGACTTAGCAGTATCCAGTACCTCACCAACAGTTTTTGACTGTTCTTCCCATTTCAGATTTATTTATTTACTTCTTTGGGGATTAAAAACAAACCAACCAAACATACTTTGCCAGTCGAAGTCCTTGGCTACCTTACAATAGAAGAGTAGAACAATGAAATAACTTCCCCATCAGGATCAAGAAACATGGGATTTGGAGAGGAGGTCCATCCCAAAGAACAGAAGATTTCAAGTTAATACACCTAGCAAAAGGAGATGTGACTAATGGTAGGATAACACTTTTTAAAACACTAAAATACATACCTTCTCGCAGAACCTAATCTCTCACACGACACAAGCAACAATCAGAAACACAACAGAAATGAGTTCATAGCACACTTCAGAGGTAATGGATGGAATACTTAACCCTCTTTCTGGGTAACTAACCAGACTCTAATTTGATGTCACTTCTAGTCCAACTTTTTTTTTTTTTTAACATACTGGCTTAATAAGGAAAACCCAAAGCCAGAAAAATCACATTAAAAAAAAGGCAGTTTTTAAATCTTTGAAAAGTCCTGTTAAGGGAGTTTAAATATCAGATATGCAAGTGATAAAGAACATTTATTTTAATGAGCTCTCAAAGTCATTAGAAAGACAACAGAGTGCATGCAATTTTTGAGCAACAAAATTTAAAAGGTTTCAACATCTGTACCTTAAATCTGAGGAGTTAATAATTATGATGTCAGAAATCTTAACATTGTCAGAGTTAAATCTGAAAACATATATCTGAACAAAGATCTGTTTGGAATACATATGTTCCAGGTAACAGAGAAGAGGTAAGAGCAAAAACTAAATTGAGATCCAGCGCACCAAAAATGAGACACATCACAATGAAATGCATGCAAACAACCTGGCTGAATGTCTTCAAAATCTGTGCTGGATTTTTGGCACCAGACATAAAGGGAATTCACTGTGGTATGCATATATTTTAAGATAATATTGTAAACCCATCTTTGGCATTTGTTGTATGTACTTCAATTATTTTTATGTACAAGGCACGTATTTTTCCCCAGATCATTACTAGCATTTTTTGAACAATCAAGAAATGGAAGAATTTTTCTAAGAAAATTACTTTTAATTTGATGAAGATCATACAAAAGTATTTTTATGTATTTCAATAGTGTTAATAGCTCATTCCTTTCTAGTTCTGAATACATTCAAAAGAGCAATAAAAGGAGGATCATTTGATCTGCTCTTCCCAGATTGGTAGCAGACAAGAAGAGAAAAAAAGATTATAGATGGCAAACCTATAAGGATCAGAGAACTGACCTTTAACTGAATATTGCAATTTAGCAGTCAAGAATCTCAGAGGTCTTGCATTCCTAAAAAGGAACACATTTGGAAGTAAACTCTAAATATACCTACTCACATGAGATGATGCATCTAAATAGAGAGTTTAGAAGCAATATTCCACATTACCCACAACGTTTCTGAAACGCCTGTTATTTGAAGCAATAATTCAAATGGACAGTTTCTAAGGAATGCATGTTCAACTGTTGATTTTCCCCACGCTGTTGTTACATGAAGGTCATAACTGTATAAAATACACAGGAGTGGGATCATGATTCTATGCCAAGTCAGTTAAAATTAATTTCATTCTCAGTTTTGTGAAGGTCTTACAATAATTTTGTTAGTCATGTTGCATCTTTTTTGTTTATCTGTTCAAAGACACCTATTTCACCAGGTTGTTGTGGGAACTAATGATGCATATGTTACTGTTTAGGAAGTATCATAAACTGCATCTATTTCTACAAAAATCTGTCCTACAGTAGCTTGACAAAGTTTTACAGTACAATTATCTTTTTTTTTTTTACTTGTTTGTACAGTTCCCAGAACAATAGGGTCTTAATCCTTGACTTGGACAGCTAGGCACCATTGAAACATAAATAATTAGCAAACAATATGAGTTGAGAGGTTTAGCAAAGTGTTATCCTTCCCAAAGCTACAAGGCACAGAGCATTTAAATGACCAGAATTCAGCTGATGCAAAGGGAACTGGGGACAAGGAACCATAGCCTTGGTTGCTTGCTAGCAACTTTGGTGGCTTGTTCTTGAAAGAACAGGGATACAAAAAAGATGACTGATGGAATGCATATGTGAGAAGAGAACACTATTCAAAGGAGCATAGGCACTGCAAATATAGTTGCCTTTTGAGCAAGGCATTTAGGCCAAAAGCTTTTTATGTATTTGCCAGCTCTACTGTATCTGCAAACCAAGAGAGAACAGCAGGACAAAATAGGGGGTTGTTTTTGGGGTGGGTATTTTGAAGAAACAACACATAAACATGCAATTTGCAAAAAAAGATACATATCAACAAGAATGAAAAAAACAACAGTAGCTGTTGTCTCTTGAAACGTGTTCTGTGCATACACATGCTGCCTTTATAACGAGTGTGCCCACTACATTCAAGCTACAGTCTCACTTAGAAGTATCAGCTGTGTTACCGTATACACGAAGAACATCCCTCTGTTTTCCATCAGAACTAAAAAGGTTGGAGCTAGTCCAATCCCTTGAGCAGCTCATCATCTTGGACAGCCCTTCATCTTCAGCATCGAAGAACAGTTTCAAGTATGAAGTATGAAGGGTATGACATGGAATTTGTGTCAACATTTCTAAGTAAAATAACTACTGAACAATTCAGCAACCGTTTCTTCCTCCTTGCCTGTCCACACTTTTGTTCTGTTGGTGGTGACTTCTAAGCTATGTACTCTCTAAAGGTGGATATCAGTAATTTAGGCTTGTTTACTCTAGAAATGAAAGACTGATGGGAAGCATGACTGTCAGCATTACTGGAGTGAAAAATAATTCCTGACAAGTGACAAATGAAGAAATGCTCTGCTTCCAGTCAGTCTGGAAGACACCTGGAGGACAGGCAATTTCCACAAGGTGATGAATGAAAAGGAAGTAGAATGGTGAGACAAAAGTCTGGAGTGCTTCCAGTAAATTGCAAAAGCAGGGTCGGGCAAATAAAAACAGTCTTCAAGAGGAATAAAGGCAAAAGAGCCAGGGCTTAATACACTACCCACAATTTTTATTTAATTAAATAAAGACGACATTAAAGCAAGATAGTAGGGGGAAAAAAAAATTACAGCATGCTAAGCAAATATTATTTTCAGCCACTAACCAAAGTATGTACAATACACAGCCAACACAAAACAAATTAAACACTTATTTACCTAGATGTATCAAGTTAAAATTATCCCAATATTTTAGAACAGCCTGTATCCCATCATATTATTTTATAATGTCATTATTACACTGTGCATCCAAAACTCCTCGATACTCTGTCAGCAATATATACTTAATACATACCTAACTTTAAACACATTATACCATTCATTTAAGGAATGAATCATTTAATGCACAATAAAAATAAAAGCAAATCTCTTTCCAATAGTTTAGACCCCTCACCCCCTCTTGTATTTGGCAGTTTGATATATGAAAAACTTGAATAGATTGGAATGATAAAACATTTTCATCAAAAGACTATAAAGGAGTAATACACACACAGTTTGATGTGATCTGAAATATATACTGAACCTCTATTTCTAAAAGAAGAGGAAAAAAAGGGGTTTTGGGGGGAGTTGTTTGGTTGTTTTTTTAACTAAATGGAAAAAAGTCTTAGAAACTCGCAAAGTCTTACCTGTTGGTATGCTTCATAGATAATATCAAACAAGAAAGCCTGAGGCATTTCACTCGCTCTGTACCTGGCACGTTCCAATGAGTGGTCTAAACAGCCGTCTGCAGCACAGGCAATAACAGTAGAAACTAGAGGACAAATTGCTCCTGCTGCCTGTGGAACACAAAGAAGCCTAAATTTTACTAAAATTAATGTGTATCAGATAGCTGCAGTTTTAAAAAGAGCTTTAAAACACATTTTCTACTTATTTATCTTTTAGATATGTTGTAACATGTAAGTCATACTACTCAGTCTGTATGAGACAACATGAATACAGCAAAAGAAGACTGTGTAAGTACACACTGAGGACCAACTTACAAAAAACAAAAAAATCTTAAATCCTTCATAAACATCTACTGCAAATCCATGTACAGATCTGAGATGTTTCTTTTTCAGGCTTTCTTCAACATACGTATTAGGTAGCGTCTGTGAGAACAGTTCTAGGTCTATTCAGATATCAAACAGCAGGAGACATAGCAGAGAGATCTGGGCAATCCACAACACCTATTGCTTTCACAGAGTTCAATTTGGCTAAACTGCTCAGAAATAAGCAACTAGAAAAGTTTCAGAAAATTGAGCTTGTTCCTCTGCATTGAATTCATCCTGTATATACAGTATTATAAATCTATGACATCTCTCAAACAGAACTCTCCTAGATGGTTTTAGTAATTTTGATACCAGAAAGTTACTCATTCCTCATCAGTCACTTATTAAATGCTCACAGGAAACTCAGATGATGCTAAAGGCAACTGGGGCAAGAGCTGTCTGTAAAATGAAGAAAAGGATAGAAAGGCAGAACATTGCTTATCAAGTTACAGGGCAAAAAGCATACACCCTGGCAACGCTGACCAGCGAGAATGGCATCCTTACGCTATAATGTTTATAGTCTATTTTTAAGAAAGAGTAATTGATGCTGTTCCAAAACATCTGGAATTATCCAACATCTTAAATCAGTACACCTAGAAATCCACTCCCTATGGCAAATTCCAACACTTTTCATTGCAGTCACAGAAGATTTTCTGAGGTCTAGTTAGCCTTGACACAGAAAAAAACCAAACAGGTCTTTCATTACATAAGAGCAGAGTTATTGTTGATTTATCTTCTGTTGGCAAATCCTGCCCTCATACATATAAGCCCTCTCCATTCTGAGAAGATTTCTGACCTCAGATACAGTGGCAGAATAGGACACCACAAGTGAACCCAAGGTTTTTTCCTCTCAGAAGAGAAAGAACTAGTTGTCTTCCCTCCCCCTTTTACACTACTGAACAATAAAACAAAGAGGAATGCAGTCAGTGTGTTGAGCACTTTATGAGCCCTAAAATACAGCTTCTTAGTTCATTCTTTTACAGAATGAGGACAGAGATGTGAACCAATTTCTCATGTCCAAAGACTTCTGATACACATGAGCTCCCAGAGCAGGAAGAAGGGAGAGAAAAGATTCTGAAGATTCATATGGCAAGAGAAATATCTGAACCACTTTCTCAAAATCTGAAAAGCACTTTTTCTTTCTAATACAGGGGAAGACAAATCTATATAAAACACTACATGGAACAAATCACCATCATCCAAAGGCAAAACATCATACAGAAAGATCAGGGAGAACTATGAAATCACAGAACTGTCTGTAAAGGATCTCGATAGGTCATTGAGTCCATCTTTATGTCCTAGGCAGGATCAGTTTTACTACTCTAATAGAGAAGAGACTAACAAAGCTAACCACACTATAATTTTAGTAATACGTCAACGTATCAAATGAGGAGTAAATTTAACAGCTGTATTTTGAGGAAAAACTGTGCATAAGGAGAGAGACTAAATTATCTGCAACTTGTTTCCTCTCTATTTCCTATGATTCCAAGACATGGATTATTACCTCTATATCCCAGCTGCTGGGTATTTGGACTATATTATTTTGCTCTGCCATCATATTTTTAATTGGTCACACACAAAAATATAAAATTAGAAGGTCATGGGAAAAGAGACAGAGCAGCATGCTAGCCACAGCTTTTCTGTAATTAGTTAAGTCTATTTGAATTTTTTTTTGCCCAAAACAGTTACCATTCCAGAAAACCAGTTAGCAAAAGAGGATTTCTTAGGCTGATCCAGTATTTTATTACAGTTTTTAACAATCATGTCATGTAACATTTTAAGTATAAAACAGGCCAAGAGAATACAATGTAACTTGCGTAACCAAATCTCACAAGTGAACATGCACTCTGAGGAACAAAAAACCAAACTGCAATTCTAAATAAAATGGAAATACTCAGAATTATATTCTTACAAGAGCTCTGAAACACATTGTTTTCTTGACATGTGGTTTATTGCACAATAAAAATTCATGAATGTCTTTATCTGTATCTTTGTGACAATACTGAACCACATCTCCTGCTCTGCTGAGGCCTAGCTCTTCCAGACACTTCAGGAAGATCTAATGTCTAATAAATCCAAACAAGTCTTTTTTTGAAAAACCCCATTTAACTTCTTAATTAACTGAAACCTTCGTGGCATCTAAAATTTAACAAATGGCATTTTTCAAACGTCTACAGTTTTACTTTACGTTACCCCAGAACTGAGTGCAGTGTAACAAGCTGAGAGTTTCTCAGTTGTCCTCCCTCCATTTCAATAAGAAATCACAAGGTGGGCACAATAAGATGTCTCCTGCAGCAAGTCCACTCACACTATACCTGATAGTGACTGAAAACATGAAGTTTAATACAAAGAATAAGGTTTGTGGCTGACTTCTGATCATGCAAGGGAGAGAAATGTTATGTATGCATTAACAGTATAACTAGCAATCATTTGACTTAACAAACAAACAAAAACAAATAAACAAACAACCAAAATCCCACCACTTTTATTCCAGAAAAGGACAACCCAGTCCATGACTGCTTTATGCTCTAAAAACAGAATGCAGAGCTCTAGTACTTACTAAAGCCACGAATTTTCTACTGCACAGAAAACCTTCATATGATGAGTAGCTGGGGTCCAAAAGCCGTGCATCTATGAGCTAGAGCACACTTGCTAAGGCCAAGCGCCGAGTTGAAACTTTAAAATACTAAGAGAAGGTATAGAAACTGATTGTTTCTTTTGCTCAGTACTGGCTCACCTTTCCACAGGACCTTTCTCTGCCTCAGCACACACACACGAGGCTCCTTCACCAGATGATGTGACCCAACACAGGGCTGAGTTTACCACCTCAGTGACACAAGAACTATGTTAGTTCCTAAGGGCAATTTCAGATTGAGTGAAATTAGGATCGAGCAAGGAAAGTAACTGGCTTGTGTATGCCCTGCATCTTTTTCATATGGGACAAGAGTGCTGAGTCTCTAACACAGGAAACCTTCCATCTGCGGTACTTCTGGTGACACCCTCTAGCTGGCATATGCTGACACAGCTGCCAAACCCAAGCTGGCTTACACAGACCTCACCACACATGCTTCTGCTTCAAAGATCGACTCATGAGTATCTTCATTTATGGTGTAAACATAATATTCAGCATGTAAAAACAGAAAAATTGAGCTGTGAATTTTGTACTCAGACACAGGTCAAAGAGGGGCATAGTTAGGATGTATGGCTTGTTCTGCAGTATTTCTTCCAATTAGCACGAATAACCTCCCTCCCCACTCAGCACAAAGCCTTTTCCAAAATCCATTCCTAGCAGTCTTGCAATGAACTTAACAGGGAATTTAGGTACTTAGGACAGGGCTACAAACTACATTTTTCAGTTCAGAAACTTAAACATTAGGGCACAGTACAGCCAAGAATACAGTAAGGTACTACTGAATCCAACAGGGCTTTTACCCATGATTGTGGGGTGTAAGGGAAGAACACAATCATGCAGTTAGTCTACTTCTATTCAGTTATAACACCAATTATTTTGTTCTTTGCAAGAAATTTCCATGTTGTTTTTCTTGTCAAGTCAGCAGCAAATCACTATTTTCATATTAGTAAAGACAGTATATACTGAGTCTCAGGTATTTGTATTTTATTTGTTCTAATTTGAGCAGCTTTGACGTGCTATCTATGTTAGGAATGTAGAGGTATTTAGCCCAGCTCTCGGGCAAGAGGTTCAGACATGAGTTAAAAAAAAAAAAACCACACCACAACCAAAGAAAAATCTGTCCTCAATTAAAAGTACTTGTTAACGTCACTATAGTCTTACAGATCTTTTTTAAACTTTGAATTAGCCTACCACAAAATACAAATCCTGAGTCCAAAGCAAGTGCCTGGGTCTTATACTAACGGTTCTCTACTCACAGTACCCATCTTACAGTTTCTAATCATTTTCACTCAGATCTCAAGTAGACTTGCCTTCAAAATCATACACAAAACGCATCCTACACACTTGCTGAATGTGAAGTGAATAGTTAATGGATATTTAAACTGAATTTCTTTAAATGTCCACTTTACAGCCTTCAAGTCATTCCACTTCAAAGACAGCCAAGCCGTAGTTCTGGTGAAACTGGCGTGTTCAAGAAATGCATACACATCTTTACCCTGTTGTTGCCTATTTTGTTAAATAAGTTAGTTAAAGTATTAAAATATCTGTGGGCAAGCTCTTAAAACATTATTTCGTATCATAACAGACATTGAAACAAACACTGATAACTGGATACTTTTCTTTTGCAGACAAAATATTAGAAAACTCATCCTTTTTTCTTAAAACAATCCTAAATGCAGTATTCCATCAACTTCAGTGGAAATGACAGACTGGTATCTCTCAGAAGCAAGCTCATCCATCCACCTGCTGAAAACTGAACCAGCCTCAAGATGCTTTTAGAAGCAACAGGTGTCTTTTATAACCCATTTTAAACAGTACAAACAAAAACATTTACAAACAGGTTCTCAGTTTTGTATTCAATTTTTTGCATAACTGCTTAGAGCATAGCATACATACAAGATTTAAAGATCCAGTGGTGACTGAAAAAAATAAAGGTAGAGAATGAAGTGCATCATGCAGGTCAGTATCCTAAGTATTTTCAATAGATTCAGGGTGTACTAATCCACCTTTCTACTAAACAGTGACACTGCATCCTTCTTATTTTATCATACTTCTATTCTGACAAGAAATTGCTGAGATGTGTATTCAGTGAATACATAACCAGGGAGTGTTTTAA